ACACCTGGATTTAAAATATCACCTGTGAGACCTAGAAATAGAAGGAGGGATATTAAAGTGGATCTTGAACACGATGATGAAGTTTCGGCCCCACAAAAGTGTGCAATGTCTTGAATATCTGGGCGACTACCAGGTTCTCAATAAGGAAACCATCTATCCGTATACAATTTTATCTTCCAGAAATCTACGCCGAAGTAGAACCAAACCAGTCTCATTCGTTGAGCAAGAACTAGTATGAAAACGTGTATGCGATTTCAATCGATAAGAGACAACAAAAATAACTATTGCGCACGATGCATATATTTTTCTTTTATGATATAAAAATCTTATCTGAATTCCTAAACGTTTGTGTTCATACATACAGAACCTATCCATTTCTGTTACATGACATAATAATCTTATCTGGATTAATCGCTCAGATATGTCATGAATTCACTTAAATCAATATCGACTGTCACATCCTTTGACGTATGATAAGCATTCCATAAACAATAACATACTAACGACCACATTTAGAAGTCCCTAATATTGAACTAAATTCTAACAACAAACACAACACACTTCTTACTCTGAGCGTAATAATCAGACAAATAATAACCTGTTCCGTTTTTAATAATAAACTCGTCTCTTCCGTGATTGACCGAGATTTTTTGGCCCTCTGAATCCATTTCAGTGCGCATGTAATGTTCACAGATTGAAATACAGCGAGGCAGTTTTACTCAACTGCCCGCAACGATTACAAATGCCAAAACCGTCACAAATGTTGGTATGACGGGCGAACGTCTGTCCTGTACAACTCAAGCGAAAGCTGATGTTACACTGAAATGGTGGTAGATTGTTCAAGGCCAGACATTCGTTCCCCCACCACAACTCCCAATCTGTGGAAAGGATGTTACCCCATTGGCAACCTTCATCTATACGTTATTTTACATGTTGTTCCATTTAAAAATCACCCCCTGCTTACGTCACTAGCTTGAGAGTAGAAGGAAAACAAACACATGTACTATGCAAACCAAATATATCCCCTACAATGGAAAAGAGACACCACGTACTGTCCACAGACCAGAATAAAAGCCCTTCGGGGGAAGTCGTTTCTGGGGCGGTGCAGGGGGAATGTTTACTATCAAGTGGACTACAGGGCTGCTATTGGTGGGAAGTGTGATACGTCAGAGTTTTACACTACTACACACAGATTGAAAACATCAAGCAGTTAAGAGTAGCGTGTAGTGAACGCACCTCTAATGTGTTCTGCGGGTGTTGCGATAATATTCTATATTAAATCACTGTGTCACTGTGAGGTTATCTTAAAGCTGTACCCATTAAAACACATGAAAGCCTGTCGTCTGTTGTTCGTTCAGTGGTTGTGGAACGAATGCTTTTAGGATCGGTCGTCACTCACCGCGAAATCTTGCGCATGCGCGTTTAACGAATTCCTAGCAGGGATTTTCTCCTGATCTGTGGACTGTACTAAGTACTGTCGCTGGGAAATGTTTACAGTATGGGTAATATAAGCTTCCTTACCTGCTACCCGTCACACCCACTTGTCTTTTACTTCTAACGACGTTGAACGCACAGATTCGCCCTTCCAACAATACTACATATGAAGCCCTTCACGCACAAAACAACAAAACGAATTAGCCCATGCACTGGTTAAAATCGATACGGCCTAATTTCAGCTGTCTTGTCGCTAGATGAGCACTTGTAAGAGAAACACTTCTTACGTGCCGAATTTTTGTTACCATTCGTTGTATTCAATGTCAGGATACTCACTGCAAAATGATTTCGACGCAAAAGTAATTTTTGAACGATGAACACACGTTCTGCTCGAAAAAACACATGTTCGTATCACACAGCTTTCGCGCAACTGATGTGAGAGCGACCTAACAGTGTCCCGAGTGTCATGGGGGAGCTTTGGGCAGTCTTTTAAACGGGGTAGACCTGTTCCACAGCACCTGTTGCGTTGCGTTTAAAATTGAACACCCTGTACAAGCTATCCATAAAACTAAGTTTATGGAGCAGAGCCCTTTATGACAAGCTATAGCAGACTAGAAATTTCCAGTACAAGTGCCAATGCGACCGGAAGTAGCTCTCGACAGTAAACAAACCCCCACGCTAAATTGGCCCCAGTAACGTTGTTTCTTACAGTGTTTACACACAGCAGACAGTCCTACAATTGAGGACGTTAAATATGACGAGCTGAGGTGTTCAGGGAGGGTTTTTTAGACGAACGCGAGGGTATTAGTTTTAATGCCAGCCGACGAATACTTTGTAAGCAATTCTTCACGATCAGCACATTACATTTAACCTCATTTGTTAAAAAACCAACGAATCAATCAACTCCAACTTGCTAAATGTTAAATCATCCTAACATTTTTCGTGCTAGAGCAAACATTTCCACATGCTAAATGTTAGCTGCGTGGTTTTATTTGCGCCAGATGCTGAAGACGGTTTCACAAACTTCCAAACCCTTTCCCCTTTATTTTAATTTACTTAAGATCTCGTCACTCTTTGAAACGACTGAGACGTTTGTGCACAAATTAAGCGTTTCTGAATCGACTGAGGACGCTGAAGTACAGCACGTGACAAAATAATATGTGCTGTCATATACACTTCAATCACTGTAATAATTCGTAAAGACAAATTATTCTCAGGCTACGTTATCGCTTTACGAAACGGAAATTATCACACTTCGAACGACATGCCTTACCGCTGGGCTAACCCGCTAGATCACAAGCGCATAAATTATCATCACTACCACGAGAAGCTGTATTCAAATAACTAGAGTTAAATTATATTTCATTTGTTTATGAATGGTGCCATACCCTCGGATCATATAAATTAAAACTTCTCTATAAAGTAGACATGTCAAGTGATCCACTTTCTATATGCCAACCGCTGCCCTCAGGTGGATATTCCTGTCAATAAGTACTGCCTTCTGACACATACAGACACGCAGTACTTTCAAAAGAGAAAGACGTATGTAAAGGCACCTGTAATTAATATCGTCTTTTATTGTATAATTTCTCAATATATCGAACAACATCAAAGAAAACTTCAGTACGTACGGGCGATTTCGTCTGAAACATGTTTATCAAACAATAAGCAAACCATCGATGGTGGACTTCGGGTTGTAACGACATGTAGATAAGCAGGTATCTGATACCGTTTCAAGGCTGAAGAAGCAAACTGCCAAGGCGAAACATCTACCATTCTACACAGCGTTATATATAAATACTTAACAAGAAAACAAAGCAAACACGCCACTGCGTTTTCGGCAAAATATAAGTCTTTTGAGCTGATGCGCCGTGTAGTCTGGTAGATATCCGACGTTTCAGAGACTCTTACTACCGACACTAGCCTCATCGCCCTGATAGAGGCAGCAGACATATCTGAAACGTCGGTAAACTTCAACCAGACTACACGTTGCAACAACCCAAAAGACAGCCACCTTCCTTTGAAAGCTAGTTTCTCCGAAGCAATTATGTTAGAAATGGCACACTTTATCGCACATAAATAGCAACGTATATTCATGAGCATCGCTTCTTAATCTACCTGTGATTACCGTCTCAGTAAAATTACTGGCTAAGAGACGAGAGGAACAGAAATCAATTTACAGAGGCGTTCGGATTGTTCATAATAATTCAGGGTCTATCTCGCCTCTTAGCCAATGAGGACCGCTACCCTTTTGCCTTCTCCGAGTATCAGCGGCCGTAGCAGTGAAACTGACAGTTCGCCTTCTTTTCTTTTTTTTTTTACTTATTTCCATCTAGATAACGCAAAGCTTTACCTTCAGACTTCATAAAATTAACACACAGCTCAGAGGGACAACTTTACATGTATCTCTTAAAAGCAGCCAACATGTTATGAAAAGTGAACGCACGTACATAACATAAAATACGTCTTTCATATCCACAGTCTCAATAGTCACATATTTTTCTTGGAACATTCTTCGACCTGCTAAATATGTAACGAAATATATATGGCCCAATTCGGTTTAAAATTTAAAGTTTTAGACAAATTTGACCATGTACTCTATGTGTATCATCTAATTTGTTCTCTGGTATACCTACACTTTCACCGTATCTAAACGCATGTCTTATGATACTCTACAGGCCGAATCTATTTCAGTAGAGCAGAGACCCGATTAATCGACCTTCTATTAAATGACATTCCGTTTAAACAGACGTGCGGTGTCGGAACGCTCCATTTTATCAACACTCAACTCAGCATGTAATGGAATGAATCACACTCTCCCACCACGCACATTCTACATTATTTATACGTACAGTTACTTTAAGGTGCTCCTGTTATTGACTTCGATAACATGAGCCAAAATTGTGCTTTACTTTGTAGGATTTAGTTTTCACGGCCGTGATTCCGAAAATGGCTGTCTTCTGGTTTGTAGAAGTTTACTGACGTTTCAGAGGTCCTTGCTGCCTCTGTCATCAGGGTGATGAGTAAGTCGCACGCATGCAATCGGTACTCACCGCCCTGATGATGGAGGCAACGATGACCTCTGAAACGTTGGTGCTTTAGTTTGTTGACGGGAGTTATTAATGTCTTAAAAATATATATTCTTTCATTTATGTTAAATGTCATTTTTGTTTATATGATTTTTTTTAATTTTATACCGAACTTAACATTCTTCGTAATTTAAATTTCATTCTTCGTAATGCTGTAAACTGTGTTGCTTTTTACCCTCGTATTTTTCATTAATATTCCGTATCAACTGACATTTTCGTCCCGTTTAGGTCGTATAATCTGGGCTCTACAGTGCATTTGACTTCCATTCGTCCACGCGTTATGTCCAATTACTTTGGTAACCTTGCACAGTTGTGATGACTAATTATTCCAAAAAAAACCTTCATTACCTTTATAATCTAAACGTGTGTAACCTACAGTTCTTGTCCAAAATTTAATTTCCGATGTTTATAATCGCTTTTCGCCCATCTTCTTGCCGCCCTGGCTTCATTTCGGTACAAAAAATAATGTTCAACAAGACTAAAAACATGTAAACTAACATTCGAAATGTGCCCTTCGTGTTACTTCACAGATCAGAGGTCACTGCTGCTTCTGAGGTCACACTTGTACTAATGTGATCTAAGGCCACTGTTGCGACAGACACACACGGACGAGCCCATAACGTGTTCTTCGCCAAAGTTACAGAATTAAGAACATCTAAAAAAGCGAGCAAGACAGACCTTGCTCCTGTTATGAATATGCAAGTATATAGCCTATACGCAGAATATGCGCGGAATTTAATTCAAATTATTCATGTTTCATTCTCTAGATGCAAATTATTTTTTTGAGTGGGATAGCAGATTATTCGTGTTCCTTTTAAGTATTCAAGTCACTGTAACCCACGTTGGTCCGTTTTCTAGTTGAGATGCAAGTTCCTTCAGCCTGTCTCAAACATTCAGACGTCCACATTTCACACAAATCGAGGTTTTAAAAAGTGTGGTAAAGATTCGCTCTAATTTAAAGTACTAGTGACTATTCTTATACACGGGGGCTGTGTTCCTATGAGTCAACGCGTATAACGAAAACGCATAAAGCAGGAAACATATAACAACACACAGGTCTATATAAACCTACTGTTGCAAAACCAATCTGCACTGACTGAAAATACATTCCTTGTATTTCGTCACATGTTAGCTATATCGAAAACGGTTACAAATTAAATATGTATCTTAATTGAATCAACACGAAGTGTATCAATTTGTGCAAAAAGAACGCTACGTTGAATTTTAGATTCCTTTAAAGCATGAGTTAAATGACCTAGTACCAATACTACTGCTTCAGCCCTGAAGATGAAG